ACCAAGTGAGACAGGTCAAGCGGTTTTTACGAATCTAGATGGTCCGATCATCCAAACAAGCCTAGGTATCCACCTAGCCCATTTTAGTAACCGAGTAGTAGTTGGACTAGTTAAACTGACCAGTCCAATCTGGTCTTGAAAACACTACTCAGTTGCGGTTGTAACTGATGGCCCAAGTTGGTAGTTGTCAGCTATTAGACCCAACAACTGACAACCGCACGAGCAGGCCCAGACAACCAACAAGTCCAGCCTTTTTTTTTTTCCTTCTGAATTTTTTTTTACTTTCTACCCTTTTACAGTTTTACTTGCTTTTACGCTTTTGTACGCAACCTTTGACTTTTTTTTACTTGTTTTAAATTTTGAATTCCATATGATATCATCTTATTTTAATTAAATTTCTTTATTTTTTTAATTAGTAAAGACTCTATTTTATTCATTGAATTAAATAATTAATTTATTTTAGACCATTCCCTCTTTTTTTTTTACTTCCCACTTTTCTTGTTTACCGTACTCATCTTCTTCCACCTCGCATCTCAATCTCAAAACCCTTTTTCCCCAACTCTCCCTTTTTATTCACTTCTTACTTCTCTCAAATCCCCAATCAACACCAAAAATCCATTCTCTTTTTTTAATCCTTTCTCTTTTCTAATTTCTTTTTTAATTAATCTTTTCTCATTGTCTAAATCTAAAAATAAAATTTCATATTAGTGCTTGATTTACTTTCTGGTTTCCACTGTCATAACCACCGCTGCACTGCGTTGTTTCTTGTCTTTCTTGCAGCTTTTATGATTCATTGTCAAAAAATTACTGCTGCTTGATTGAAAATTCGGTTAAAAATCAAAATCAACACTTCACCAACGAAACCGATATGCCTGAAACTAAAAAACCGAAACATTATGGATCGGTTATCGATTGTTAAAAATTGGAAAATCAAAAACTCAATTAACTGAGATTTCGGTTTCAATTGCTACCGAAACCGTCCGATGCCCACCCCACTAAAAAACATGGAATCAATCAATCAATCAACTATTAAAACGTTAATAATATAAAAGGTCAGTTCTCCAATGTTTTATTTTGTCCTTATACAGTGTCCACTCGAACTGAAGTTTTTTTTTTTATCTTTTTGCACGATTTTACAAAAGTGATTTACTGTAGCATTAGCCACTATTAGGTTGTTGATGTGCATTAAATATTTTAATTCTTACTAAAACTTAAGGTTTTATTGAGATAATTATAATATTTATCTGTCCTCCTAAAATTTTCTCTCGTTTAGTAAAAAAGATTTCCTGTAGCTAAACCATTCACTTCCCCTCACATATCACTATTCAGAAGAAGATATTGATGCCGGTAAATTTCATTCTTTTATTGTTAAATAGACATTTTGTTAGAATCAAAGTGATGACCTATTGATATTATTTTAAAATTAAAAAACTAGTATTTATTTTCATGATTTAAGCAGCTTAATGTAAATAAATTATACAATTGGCTTTCATATAAGTTTTTAATTTTTAAAATAAATTTTTTAAAACCAAAAAGTAAAATAAAATTTAAAAAAATTAAAAACAAAACCGAATAAAACCCAATAAAAAAAATATTCTCCCAAACTACTGACGTAAGAATATTAGAGGTTGAAACTGTAGGAATAAAACTAAGTTAAGACAAATACAAGTAAGAACAAACTCATGAAGGATAAGCCACTTTATTCCATATTTCACCATAATTCTATTACTGCATTAGAAGATACATAACAACAAGCCTGCCTCAGGCAACGAGTCTCTTGTGCCTAGATACTACTACATATATATTCCATATGCTACCAGAATAGAATTGCTGCTGTGTTGCTTAATTATATCCTCCTCTGCCGGCTGTGTTGTACTGAGCTAGAAGAGCCCTTCTTCCTGCAATATCCGAACAAAACATGTACACTTAAGATTATTGGAAAACTACAATACTATTTGCATTAACATACCAGAATTAAGGCAGAAAGTGAGTAAAAAAACAAATTGATTTCTACGAACCGAGATTAAATCCAGAAGAAGCATCATCCATGATGGCAGTAGCCACCTCAGAGGAAATGAGCAGCAGAGCTGCAATGTAGAGCGCAATCACAATGAATTGAGTCAGCATAGGGGGAGCCAACATTTTCGCCATGACTCAAGGAAGAAAGGAAAGCAATTAGCTTGCTTGTGCAGCTTTGGCTGATCCATACATAGGGGTATATTTATAGGAAAAACTAGGTAACCTGTTAGCATCAGATAGTTAGCGCACCTTTGAACTTTCTGTATAAAATGGATAATCACTTTTGATTAACGACGCCGGTCAGTTTGGTTCGTGCTCAGTAGCAGTCAATCATTTCTGCTACTTGAATACTGAGAGAAACAGTTTACAACTTGATATTTGCTATGAACTTCAAACTGCTTTCAGATTACAAATGGTTCGTGCTTAATTAGTAGCGGTCAATTATTTCTACCATCTACATGAATATGAAGAGAATCAGTTACAAATTTATATTTGTTATGTATGCCAAATTGTTTAGGTTTTTTTCAAGATATTTTAATGAATTTTTTTGTAATTTTTATGAAATCCGCTTGAAAATCACTAAACTCAGCAATTATATATGATTTGTCAAATTTATGTAATACAAAATTACGGGGGTTTGGTATTTTAACTTTTCGGGCCTCATTCATTTTAAGGGCTTAGATTTGGCAGGCAGACTCGGTACACAATTGGGCTTTCATTTTCATTTTTTAAGTAAATTGAAAATTCGAATTGCAATTTTGCTTCTTGGGCCTGCTTTGCTTTGGTTCTAGTTTGGTTTAACGCCCAATTTGGTCTCTTGACTTTTTGAGTTTGTCCCCAATTTGTCCCTAAACTAATTTCAGTCTTCAAACATATCTTAAACATTCTATATTTAATTTTGCAAATAATTATTGTAGATTCAAAGTTGAATTTGTATTTCTTCATCATAGATTATACATATCTGCTTATTACAACAGAAAATGCTTTTGAAATATGTATTTTAACCCTTTGTTGTATTTGTGAAGGTGGAAGCACTGTCAAGGGGTTCTTCCTATTTAGTTCTCGGAAGTATTTTTTATATTAAATTGTAAAATAAGAACCATTAGATGGGAATAAGTCTTTAATAGTAAGTGTTATATAGTTCACTGCAATTTAGATTGTACAATACTTTTTATTTTTTTATTTTTTTTAAATATATGAGAAATGTCCAAACTACTATAAAAGTGCATTTTAGGAATCCAAATGTTAAGTCAGCTTGCTCTTTTTAATAGAATATACACAAAGGAATAGGTGATATATGATTCATATTGTGCATTCTATAGGATTATCGTTTCCCCATGAACATTTGCGTGTAGACAGTATGAGACATGGAGGCTTTACATTAGATACTGAAATTATTTAGAAATACAATGTATTCAAGAAGATGATCAACAAGAGAACTCAAAGATGAGTCCAGATTATTTCATATTTGCTATTCAACTACAATACCATTGTTGCATTTCATTAAAAATATCCCGAAAGTGAAGACAATGAGACATGATCCCCCTGCCTAAGACGTGGCTATAAGTCATGACCATATATATGCTGCTAGTGCTAGATATGGTGATTTATTGTATAATCTACCGTATGAATTGATCAAGTAATCCTCCTTGTGGTTGTTGTTGGTAGAAACTTCCAGCCCATGTGAACACATGGACTTTCCATGTGGTAACTTTTCACACCCTATAGTTAAAAGGCTGCGCTACCTATGGCAGCTCTTGTTGAATGTTTGCATGATAAATTCATTTATTACAAGTTTACTCATTTAATGAAGTGAAGAAATTCATGCATGGGTGGTTGGGTTTTTTCCCTATAAACCCATGCATGCAAAGGCAACAAGCAAGCAAGAAGCAAGAGCAATACCAAAGTGAGTGAGTGAGCTTCAAAGGTGAGAGCCCCAAGTGAAAGAAAAAGAAGGGGTGAGAGCTAGGCCTTAAACTTAGGTGTAAATGTGTGCTCCATAGAGAGAGTACATTAAGTAATAAAATTGTAAATTTATTAGGATTATGATCATATCTTGGGGGAGTGGGAAACACCAAGAGAGAAAAATACTTAGTGTATACTCTATACCATTTTATCATAGTGGAATACCCTTCAGAATCTGTTCTGTGGTTTTTTCCCTTAATAATTTTTTAGAGTTTTTCCATGTAAAATTTGGTATTGTTTTGTTTATTTAAACCGCCCAGTTTATTTTGCTTAACTAGTTACGTCGCTTTTATCACTAACTATTAATATTGGTTGGCAAAGCTGCATGTTTCACCGTTTTTGTTGTTATTCACGTGTTTTGTTCGCCGGAATTAGTTTATTCTGCTGTGCCATTTTTCCCAACAGTTGTTGTACTCAGAAGTAATCTTCCTCTTGGTTGTGTTGAACTCAGCTAGAAGAGCCCCTCGTCCTACAAAATAAATAGATTGATGAGATACTGGAATGGTGAAAGTTTTCAGAACTGAAATTCCACTATATACTAACTGCAATATTAAGAAAAATTAAGACAGAAAGCAAGAAGTAATCCAAAGTGTTCTCTGATTTGTACGAACCAAGTTTGAGTCCAGAGGAAGCATCATCCATCATGGCAGTAGCCAACTCAAAGGAAATAAGTAGAAGAGCTGCAATGGAAAGTGAAATCACAATGAATTGAGTCACCTTAGAGACGACCATTTTCGCTGTTATAATCTAACCCCAGAGAAAGAAAGGAAACCAATTAACTGCAAATGCTTGCTGTGGTGCTTTTGGTACTGAATACAAGTATTTATAGAGAAAATCAAGAAACCTGTTTGCATCAGTTGAAAGATCTGTAACTTTGAAATTTCATTAAGATCATGAAATGGGTAATGAATTTTTATTAAGAAAATAATTAGTATACTCTTTGATTTAACACTTTTTTTAACACTTTTCCAACTCAATCATTAAAATATAATAAAAGTACAATAATTTTGGACAATTAATTCCTGTACCATCTTGTATGCATGATTGCCTTTTTAAATTTGTTTAATTTTAATTTCATACAAAAAATAATAATTTTTTAATAAATGTATTATGTAATGTATTAAACAGAAGAGTGCAATAATCAATATCCTTTCAATTAATATAAATCAAATTTCTTCATCCTTGTATCACCGGTCAGTAATTTCTGCCTTGTGTATATGCAGAGGATTAGTTTATATTTGTAACTTCAACCTGATTGCTTAATTTCAATTTATCAGGATTAGATTATATATTTTGCCTGGTCAATGTGGCCAAATTATATATGACATTATGAAAAATCTTATGTTTAAAATTCTCTTTTCACATATCTAGCTAGCTGCAGCCAAGAATTTGTCAAACTCAAATCTAAACTGGCAATATCAATATTGTATTTGCAATAATCTTACTCAATGATGTTAGAGAGATTACATTTGCACATACATATTGTTTGTTGTTGCGTCGAATATTTAGGTGAATTAGTATCAGCTTAATTAAAAGTACTAGACCATGCCACAAGAAGTTAGGATCGAAATTCATGAAGATTTACTTATTATTTTGTGATTTCCTCATAAAAAAATAAATAAATAAAATTGAATCTATTTTTAATTAAAAGCCAGTGTACCGGGCACACCAGCATGGAACGTTGTTGTTGAAGAAAATATCTCATCATCAAGTGCTTGGAGAAACTCAGGGTGACTGAAGTCGTTCAATTTCAAGCATGAGGTTTGTGTGGAGAAGAGGCTGAAATGAGTGATATAGAGACATCTAAGGTTGTATAAATGAATTTACGTATAGAAGTGCTAATCCTACATATATATCCTTTTACACATATATATATATATTTCACACGAAAACGACCTATAACTCCTACAACGTGATCCACTTGGGATAGACAGCATGCAATCAGTTTCTTAATTTCATTGGTATTCATTACTAATTTGTAATGTATATACATACCTACTTTGGTTTTGGAAGCAAACGGAGGAGGGAAACTCATATATGAACAGAGGATTTTGGTATTGTGTTGAGGTATGTATATTTTGAGTGAAGGAAGAGACGAAAGGAGGGCTGATATATGCGGAAAATTTTATTGCATGGAGAAAGTGACATTTTTTTTTTTTTTTTTGGAAGAAAACTAGATTTGGACTGCAAAATCATATCTACTATTGCCATGAGTTTCTGGATTTACTTGGCTGCATTGATGTTATGAGGAGTGCTACAATGGCACGGAGCCGAGTTCACAAGCATGCACTCCTCTTCCCATTGGTCCTCTCTATGTTACGTTTTTTTTTTTTCTTCTTCTTCTTCTTTTTAAAATTTTTTTTAAAATTTTTTTCAAAAAGAAAACTGCATTTGGGTCAACCATGGCCCAAGTGCAAGCTACACAGACCCACTTTAAGGATGACTACTAATGATATTTGAGAAGCAAATATAGGTTTTTCTTTTTTTTTTAATGAGTACAAATTTCACGAGATGTCAGAATTTAAATCAGTATCATATTAGCAAAAGTGCAACTTCAAAACTAGTTATTAGCCGGTCCATCTATAGGGCCAATTGCCACTTATAGGTCTATATGGTAATGCAATTTTAGGAGTTCCTCATGAACGAAATTTTCTCCCATAAAGACTTCTGGTTACTAATGGTAACTTAGCCAAATCTACATTTGTTACTCAATCTCTTCTAAAATAATTGGTATATTTTTCGATTCAATATATTTACTAAAAACCTATTATTTTCAAATTTGAATTCACAGCAGCAAAATTTTCAAATGCAAATTCTAATGGTTGAACCGGAATATGTTGTACAATATGTTAAATTAAAAGGTATATCAATCATTGTCCATTTTTTTAATAAATTTGGACCTAATTGATATTAAATTCACAATTTCTTGAGGATGGATCAAGTAAATAATTAACTAATTGGATTAGTGTTCATTTGCCTTTTCTTTTAAAAGTTAAGAAAAAAATTATTTTAATATTATATCATTTTAAAAAAACACCATAAAAAAACAACAAAAGTAATTTATTTTATGCTTTAAAAATATAGTATTATAGTTATTTCAATAAACTCTTATTGAAATAACTATAATACTATATTTGTAAAGAGTTTATTGAAATAAGTAGCTTTACAATATATTTTCTTTTTAATTTTTAGAAGCTAAAGTGAATAAGCAATTTTCCCTTAACTAATTCAGATCTGATTTAGAAAAATTGAAGAGCAATGCTGCAAATCTCCAAAATGATTAATTACGTGCATTAGTATAAGAGAACAAAATCTTGATTTTCTGTGAGATCATTTTTAATTTCTTCCCACAACCCGTCATGCACGTACTCAGTATAGATAAGTTTAAAAAATGCAATCTTCCTCAACTTCAGCTAAGCTACTTACATTCACCATATCATCAATACATTTTTTTTGTGATCACATAATAAATATATACATTTGCCTTCATCATGTGTCAGATTTGTTTATATAGTTGTACGTTATAGCTGGGGGAGATTAATTAAGCGATACGTTGACCAAGAAATTGAGGGCAGGATTAATTAACGAGAATCTAAGAATGACGTGTCGCTATGATACTTGATTAATTCTAATATCAGCTTAAGCTAACTCTTCATGCAAAAAACTATGTCTATATAAATATAATTGCATCACCTGGTGAATGATTAAGACTAAACAGTCAATGAAATTAGCTGTTTATTAACAATTTTTTTATTTAAAAAAATAATATGTTTTGAATTTTAAGTCATAATCATATAAATATGATGGTGAAAGAAAGAAAAGATCCATAACTAACTCACATTGTTCCCACATTATCTTTCAACAATTGTCTACTGTGCACAAACATTCAGATTTGACAGGCAAATAATCTTTTTTTTTTTCTTTTTTTGGGTGAAAGTTAGATAATCAATTCGACACAAAAATTTATAGTGTATTTAAGTTGTGGAAGATGAAGGGGGAAATGAGAAGAAAGAAAATGAAAGGAATATTTGAATATACATTAGTGATTTTCTTGTCTATTAATATAATGATAAAGTACCATGCATGGCCATTATTTGTAATTAAATAATTAATGAATTATAATAAATTAATTTAAATTAATCTTTGTAATTGTGTGGAGACCTCATATGCTGAAATGTTAATGTATTAGTGGACGGAATGCCACATCATTATAAGGAAGAATTCCTTGTCCAAGTAAAATGCCTTTATAAATATGATAATATTATAATTATGATATTATGTAAAATTATAAAAATAAATAAATAAATATGATATTACAAATGAATTTAAAAATTAAAAAAATAAATTATATAATAATATATTCTATTATAAATATATAATATTAAGTAATATTATAATTATAATATTTTCATTGTGAATAGACATTAAGGTAAATTAATTAATGTTTGTCTAGAGTTTAAATTGAAGAACAAAGGGTGGCACATGCGAGGCACATGGTGGCCCCGTAAGGTTAGGCGCCCAGAGCCCTGGACAAATGGAACCAAACCTGGGCATCACAGTTCACACACATTCCTTGGTGATCCCAATGAGCAGAGAGTTTGTTCTGTACTGACATTTCCATTTCATGCCTTCTTCTTCCGTCCTACAGGCTAGGGTAAATTACGTAGCTAATCCATGTGGTTTCATTTCCAAGGTAAGTAATCATACTCTAATTTCGTACTTAATCAACTAATTTTACGGACCAATAATCTTAAATTTTGGGTTTAAATACCATTTTGGTCCCTCAACTTTCCACTTTGGAATCAAAATTATCCCTCAACTTAAAAAGTACCAAAATTATCCTTAAACTTTCATTTTCGGTACCAAAATAGTCCTTTCATTAGTTAAATAGACAGGTGGCAGTTAAAATGCCACAAAATCATTGGATTTTTTGAATCTTAATGACGTGTAGATCCAGCAAAGAAAATATTGTCCCCGTGGTATTTTTTTACACGTCAGATTGTCGTCTTTCCAGTTTCTCCTTTTAATGGAGCTTACATGAAAATTTGTTTTCTCTTTTTCCAATTTCAATCAAGTTCCTTAAAAATCACAGTTTTCTTCGTTTCTCTTTTCATTTCCTTTTCGGATTCAAAACCCTAAACCTACTGCTTCTACAAAATTAAAATCAAAATCAAATCATCCTTCTTTTTTCTTCTTCTTATTCTTTCTCTCTCTCTATTCTCTCTTCTTCCTCTCCAGATCTAGGTTTTCTCAGGCTTGCTGAATCTACCTTAGTTCGCTCATTGCTTCTTATTTTCTTTGTTGATTTTCTAGTTATAATCCAACAAATCCATCAATTTTCTCTAATCCCAAATCTCTCTTTCTATCT